AGGCCGCATGCGCTTGCCAGACAGACAGAGACAGAAAGCGAGAAATCACCTCCCAGGAGGGATGGTCACGCCGCAATCCCTTCTCCTCCATTCTCCTCTCAGGATCTTGGGCACACACGCACACGCGCCCGGTGTGAGTTCTAAGCCACCGGGTCCGGGACGTGAACCGCAGTCGACTCTGTGGGAGTCCAAATATATATCCTTTTTTTTTTTTAGCACTGTACCGAGATCACTGTTACCGGCTGATTCTAGTGCAGCCTGCCTTCCCTGTCCTTCCTGCTCCCTAACGGAGAAGTGCCATGTACCAGGGATAAACCTAGCACCGGGGCCCAAGAACCAGGATATCTGGCTATCCCACCCGCTTGGGGGCTTGTGCTCAGTAATACCTGCACTAAATACACAGCGTGGCCCTGTCACATGCTAGCAGGGAGTTGCAGCTGGCTCTGTGTGTTTTATACAGAGGGGCCGATAAGCTTCACTCAAGGAAGTGAACTCTCTGTAGGTGATTGATCACCCCAAACACGAAGCTGAGCGCCGGTGTTCCAGATGCTGCTCTGTGTGACAGGTGTTAGATCCGTAAGAGTGGAGAATGTGTGTGTATGCATTTAGGACCTCAAATTAGACACATACTGCCCTTTAAAAAATACTGCTAGAGGGACCAGCAGTTAGCCTAATGGCTATGTCACTGGACTCCCATGTAGTCGACCGCAGTTCGCATCCCGGACCTGGTGGCTTAAACTCACACCGGGCACGTGTGCGTGCATGCCCAAGATCCCGAGAGGAGAATGGAGGAGAAGGGATTGTGGCGTGACCATCCCCCCTGGGGGGTGATTTCTCACTTTCTGTCTCTATGTCTCTCTCTGTCTGTCTGGCGAACGTATGCGCCCTATAGCGAAAACCTCTCATTGTTTCCAAGTTCCCTGTTCTATAGATAAGGTCACTAAGGATCAGAGAATGTAAGTGATTTTCTGAAAGCCACATACTTTGTCACTAAGCTGAAACCAATTCTGATTCCATCAACTGCCATGTTAATTCCATCGCCTTCCAGAGAGGCCAGTAGTTCCTGCTCCGTGACTCAGGGTAGTACCCGGAGCATGTTCCTTGTCGTATCAGATTACCCAGCAGTGGCGGAGGAGCTGGGGAAATATGCTTCAGCCTCTCCATTCCTGGTCTGCAAAATCTAGAATGTCCATCTTCTTTTTCTTTTTTTTTCGAAGAGGTTTTTACTATAGGGCGCATGCGCTTGCCAGACAGACAGAGAGAGATAGAGAGAGACAGAAAGTGAGAAATCACCCCCCAGGAGGGATGGCCATGCCGCAATCCCTTCTCCTCCATTCTCCTCTCGGGATCTTGGGCACGCACGCACACGTGCCTGGCGTGAGTTTTAAGTCACCGGACCCGGGACTCGAACCGCGGTCGACTACGTGGGAGTCCAGTGATATAGCCATTACGCTAACTGCTGGTCCCTCTATCTTCTTCTTCTAAGCTCAGACTTCAGTCTTACATGAAGTGATAATCCAACCTCCATAACCTCCTTGGTCTCCATGCTCAGTTCCTATCAGTTACATTCTCAGATAAGCAGTACGAACCAACACGGTAGTATAGTCATCATTTGAGACATGGAGCAATGTATGCATTCCACAGAGCCCATCATTGAAGAAGCTTTTTCTTTTTTTTTTTTAAGAATTATTTATGTTGGTGGTTACGGTGCTGAACACTCCCACATGGCCAACCACAGTTCGATTCCCGTACTTGGTAGCTTGCTTTCTCACTTTCCCTCTCTCTCTCTCTCTCTCTCTGGTCAAATTAAAATAAATGAATCAATCAATAAAAATTAAATAAAAATTATTATTATCATTATCATTATTATTAGTTAATTTGCTGTAGGGCACATGTGCTCACCCAAGACAGACCGAGGGAAGGTGAGAAAGCAAGCCGCCAGGTCCAGGACTCAAACCACGTTCGGCCATGTGGGAGTCCAGCACTTTAACCACCATGCCACCTTCTGGCCCCAGGAAACTTTTTCTAAACTGTCCTGAAGCCCACAGATTTCATGTAATTCTAGTCAGGCATAGGGGTAACCTACCAAAATGCTCCATGGAAGGCATGTGATTTGCGAAAGCTACCCAGGGGTTCTAATACAATGTGCCTCCCACCGTCCCTTCTCCTTAGCAGAGAAGCGCAGTGGGATAGACAGCCATGGACCAGTTCTTCCCCAGCGAAGTGCTGGGGAAGAGCTCCACGGCAGGTCTGAAAGCCATCTGCCCTCTGGGTTTGCTGCTTTGGGTTTCTCCACTGTATTTAGAACTACTTCCATAAGGACTTAGCGTTCCAGACACTGCTTAGGGTGAAGATATGGTGGAGAGTGGAGGTCTGCCTTCCCCGGGGGGTTTTGGAGAGAGGGGAGGACAGAAGACATCTCAGTCACCCCTGTGAAGGAGAACACTGAGTCATGAGCTCCTAGCCCGAGGGACGCAAGCAAACCTAGGAGCTCATCAGCAGATAAGAATGCGAGCTTTAAGGGACACACAGTGGAAAAGTACTTGTCAATAATGATATGTCTGCTGCTATCTTTGGATGAAGCGATATGCAGTGTGCTCCGAATGGGAAAAGTCATTTGGTGTGCTGTAATGCTACACAGTGATTGAATGTAAAAAAAAATAATAATAATTAATTTTAATTAAAAAGAAAAAAAAAAAGAATGTGAGTAACCATCCTCATCCCTATGGAACTAAAAAGGAAGAGAATAGGGATAAGTAGGAATTCTCCGTCTCCAAAAGGTCAGCTGTTTAAAGATTTCTATTTGAAGGGATCACGTGCACACAATATATTTACTGAAAGTGTTTCAATATGGGCTGATTTTTTTTTTTTTGGAGAGGTTTTCACTGTAGGGCGCGTGCACTCACCAGACAGACAGAGAGAGACATAGAGACAGAAAGCGAAAAATCACCCCCCAGAGGGGATGGTCATGCCGCAATCCCTTCTCCTCCATTCTCCTCTTGGGATCTTGGGCACGCACACACATGCGCCCGGCGTGAGTTTTAAGCCACCGGGTCCGGGACGTGAACCGCGGTCGACTACGTGGGAGTCCAGCAACATAGCCATTACGTTAACTGCTGGTTCCCGGGCTGATTTAAGTTCAAGGGATCCTGAGAGATAAGAGTCTCTTCCCCTTTAACTCTGAGATCACTAAAAATGTCCCTACAGTTCAGTAGTAGTGTTAGTCGGTAATAAAGTTTATGTAGCAACGACTAAAATTAATTTATGCATTTGAGGCCCAGGTCAGTGTCTTTTATGGCAAATTGAAAAATAAAATGTGCTGAGTGGGGCCAGCAGATAGCGAGGTGGGTAAGGTGTTGGACTCCCACATGGCTGACCACAGTTTGAGTCCCGGACCCAGTAGCTTGAATGCCCAAAATCCCAGGAGGAGAAGTGTGGTCATCCCCCTTGGGGGTGATTTCTCACTTTCCTTCTCACCATGTCTCTCTGTCTCTCTCTTATGAGTATACTCACCCGATAGCAAAGAAACAAAAAATTCCCTGAGTACGCCGAAGGAAATGTTCTCTTGGGGTTTTCTGTCTCATGATTCTACAGTTAGCATAATTATGTAGTAAAACACCATCCACGGCGTCATGTCTGTATCCAACAACCCTTGACAGGTCACCTAGTGCTGGGGGTACCGATAAACCTCTGTCCTCAAGGAGCTTCCAGTCTAGAACAGGAGATGACGGTAAAAGCACAGGACTCTGATACCGTAGGCCGGGTGTGACCACAGAGCCGTCCACGGGGTAACATCAGACATGGCGGCCAGATGCTCTTACCAGGGGAAGACGCACAGTCCGAAGTGTGATCCTCAAGTCACATGGTTCAACGTAGCGTTTTTTCAGCTAGTGCGGACGGGGAGAAAGAAAAATATACCTGAGCTGACAAAGTTCCGGGCAGGTTTTTTTTTCCCTGTAGTGGTCCTCGTTTGCCCTTCTTGTTCTTCTTCTTCCACTCGTCCTCACCCCACGGGATACCAAATGTTAAGGATATTGCCTTTCTTTCAAATAGTATGAGCGGGTTATTCTGAAAAGGAAAAGGGGGTAATGATGGCTTCTCTCCTTTAAATGTAGAAGAACTGTCTGGCCCAGGATTGCCCCATGACCTAGTGGTTAAGGCAGCTGGAGCCCACATAACCAACCACAAGGTTCAAGTCCCAGACCCAGCAGATTAAAAACACACTGGGAAGGGTGTGTGTGTGTGCGTGTGTGTGTGTGTGTGTGTGTGCACATGCGCGCATGCACATGACCCACATCCTGACGGGATAAGGAAATGAAGAAGAGATTGCGACATTTCCACACCCCACTGGGGAGATGCTTTCTCTCTCGATCTCTCTGGCAAGCATAACACCCTCTGGCAAGAAAAAAGAAAAAAAAAACAAGTACTAACTGATCTCATAAGAGGAGATAAAGGACCGTCCAGATTTCTTTATAACAGAGACAAAAGTGACCCTTACAAACTCCCTGAGAACAAAGCCTTTGTGCAGCTTGGAACTCTGCGCAGTGCCTCACTTTAATTCCTGAGACACACTGACCCTTCTAGTGTCTGGCCTTGGGTCAAATGCTGGGGTTACAAACGTAAAGGAGACACTGTCCCTGACCTTCAGGACATCGATCTCTAGAGGGGTAGATAGGCATGTCAAAAGAATCATTGCGGGACACTGCGAAAGTTGCTATGATTGAACTATATACTAAGGATTGGTAGAATACGGGGGGACGGAACAATTAACTCTGCCTGAAGAGGTGAGGGAAAGCCCCACCCAGAGGGTGACATGTAAATTGGGTTTTGAGGGATGAATAGGAGTGGCTCTCAGTTACTTCGTGTCTAAGCAAACAGATGTTGCACCTTTTGCTCAGACTCTTAGGTTCTTTCACTGCGGAGCTAGTGGAGGGAGGAGGCTCGGGGTTAGGAGCAATAGCACTTCCAGGATTCATGCTGTCATTCCTCTCCCTCCGTAGCCATCAGGTTTGGGCGGATGCCACAGGCTGAGAAGGAGAAGCTGCTGGCAGAGATCTCCAGCGACATCGACCAGCTGAACCCAGAGTCTGCCGACCTCCGGGCCCTGGCCAAGCATCTGTATGACTCGTACATAAAGTCCTTCCCGCTGACCAAGGCGAAGGCCCGGGCCATCTTGACAGGAAAGACGACAGACAAATCAGTTAGTTCCCTTCCGCTGTCTTTACGGGGGCTTGGGGGGGAAAGGGGACCGGGGGCGTTTGACTTTGGGGGTTTGCTCTGACTTACCCCGTCCACATACACGCGCAGAATACTGCTCAGCCGTTGGCTGGTCACAGGTGGTGGGCCGAGTCGGAAACACAGAACGTGTTTTCTGGTAGGATAAGTAAGCATTCTTTCAAAAAAGGAGAAAGTCCTCCAAGTTCTGGGACCAGCAATTGGCGTAATGGCTATGCCACTGGACTCCCACGGGATTGACCACGGTTCAAGTCCTGGACCCGGTAGCTTAAACTCACGCCGGGCGCGTGTGCGTGCGTGCCCAAGATCCCGAGAGGAGAATGGAGGAGAAGGGATTGTGGTGTGGCCATCCCCCCTGGGGGGTGATTTCTTGCTTTCTGTCTCTCTGTCTCTCTCTCTCTCTCTGGCAAGCACACACACCCTATAGCAAAAACCTCTCAAAAAAAAAAAAAAAACAAAACAAAAAAAAAAACCTCTATCTCCAATCTCTCCCAGTTCTGCTGCCAGCTTGCAGTAGGACCTGAATCGCCATGTCTGTACCTCAGTTTGTAAAGACAGGGTCTGGCTTTGATCATAATGGCTATGGGATGTTCCTCGGGACGCCTTCCCTGGAAGCTTCCGGAAACTTTTGGACTGCTTCCTAGAAGCAATTATTTACCTCTCCAGGGGCACAGTCACTCGTAGATACGACAGCAGTCAGATCTATGTGGGGGGAAATCTCATTACCCTTCCATGTATTTTGATGACTATCTCCAAGTATTATTTTTTCCTTCTGTGCTAAACCGTGTCTTAGGAATAGGATCAGCTAACAGAGAGAGAAAACCGTGGAGCCATGTGCCGAGAAGGACAGGGAGTTTTCTGACTTGCGAAAATGGTCTCTGACATCTTACCAGTAGCATACCTGGGCCCAGGGCTTTACAGCTCCACCGCTTCTTGCTCATTTATGATGCGCAAGCCCCATGGCCCTCTTACGGCTCATATCCTCATCCCATCTTTAAAGATAAGGCAGCCAAGGTCCAGAGAGGTTAAACATCCTGCCCAAGATCCCGCGGCAAGCATGTGGAAGAACCGGGCTCGTCCTGTGGGCCCCCTGACCTGCTCAGGGCGTTCTCGGGCCGAGAGTGCCTCCATGCCACCATACTGGGGGAGCTAGTTTCTCCAGTGGGCTGGCAATCAGCCAGAGAGACACACACACCAGGAAAACTCACCCACGGTGAAGCTCCTGGGTGCGATTTCTCCCTAGCAGTTTTTAGATGAGCGGCCTCATTCTGCCACTCCAATATTCTCACAGGTGGGACCCTTTTCTTGCATTGTTTTGCTCTTGGATGTCAGTGACCAGGCCCGATGCATCCCACCATGCAGAACTGTGACCCATAGGTCATCGTGAAGCTGAGGCCCCACGTTCATTGAATGAATAACACTGGGCCAGAATAAGCCAAAAGTCAGGGACGATCTCTGCATGCTGATTGGAATGCAGTAAATAAACTGCGTTCATGTCCAGGTAGAGAATTCAATGGGTACCCGACGCCATGTAGCTAAGAACGTTAGCACCGTCGGGCAGACTACTACAGTTCACTGAGAGCACGTCTAGGAACGGCATCTAGGGGGCTGGAGACCCAGAACGGGGGGTGGGGGGCATTCTCAGTCCATTGCTGGACGAGGATTGCCTTCAAGCAAACTATTTACTTCACAGTCTTGCCAAGGGACATGGCTGCTTTTCCGCCTCCCCTTTATCTTCCAATCTGGAACTGCAATCCATGCTGGAAGTCCTATCACCATAATGGCACCTGAAAGATAGGAGGAAAGCAGTTCCTCAAAAATATCCAGTTGTTAAGAATTTTTTTTTTTTAAGGTTTTTGCCCTAGGACGTGTGTGCTCACCGGAGAGAGGGAAACTGAGAAATCGCCCCAGCGGGGAATGGCCATATTGCAATCCCTTCTCCTCCAATCTCATCTCAGGATTTGGGACATGCACGCACATGTACCTGGCATGATTTTCAAGTCATCGGGTCAGGGACTCAAACCGTGAGCATTTACACCTTGGGTGGCCATCTCTTGTTGCCGAAGGACACAGAGCCCCGGCTACTGTAGATATCTTTAAAACCTCACTGCAGTTGATTTCTCGGCTTTCAATCTTTGCGTTAAAAATAAGATAATTAGAGGCACTTTATAGAATAACTAGGTATGGGGCTGTTTTGTTTTAGTTCTTTTTTTTTTTTTTTGAGAGAGAGAGATTTTTGCTATAGGGAAAAAATAGGGAGAGGCAGAAAGAGAGAAATCACCCCACCCCACCCCCCAGTAGGAATGGCCATGCCTCAATCCCTTCTCTTCTTGGGATTTTGGGCACGCACACATACACACCCCACATGAAGTTAAACCACCAGGCCCAGGACTCGAACCACGGTCGACTATGTGGGAGTCCAGAGACATAACCATTACACCATCTGCTGGTCTCCAGTATGGGGCTGTTTTAGTGGAAAGGGCTGCAAAATGCTGATTACAAGTTCAGAGACCACCTATTTGTCATTGTCCCCACAGTAACTAGGACTCTGCCTTGCCTCTCATGTCCCTCAGGCTGTATTTACTGAATCGAATGAAAAACTGTTGTCTCTGCCCTTTGAAATTCTGGACTTTCAACAGAGGGCCTCTTACTAGCCCAATATTTGCTCACTAAACTGGACATTATTAATGATCTGGATAGAGGCAGAATTGCCTCTGGTTGTGTCTAGAAAAATAAAGAGAGACTGGGCCAAATTAAAATAATCTATCCCCTGATTACACAAAACCGAAATAGAATCGTTTGGCACTCTCTGTTCTCCGTATCTTGCAAAATCAAATTAAGCACGAGTGGAAAGAAACCGTTCAGAGAGGGATAGGGGAGAGGAAAAAAATAAAATAAATAAAAAATCCAAACTGTGATTTCCAGTGAGACGAGATTTATTCTTTATCTACACGGTCCTATTATTCCTGCGATAGCATCTATCTCGGGGGTGTTGCGCTATCTCTTGGCCCGGCCCCAGGAAAGTTAAGATGTGCCTTGATAGGAAACGTTTTCTGCAGAAATACAGACTCTTGAGAGGGTGGGGGGTTGTAAAAAAGAGTGGCCCTGGCTATGCAATCATTTGGGTCTCATTAGACACCCTGCTTGAGGCTGATGTCCCCGGTGCTAGTGAGGCCAAACCTGGGGAGAGCCAGCCAGCACCGTGGGTGACCAGTTACCCGGAAGCTTTGAAAGAGGAAATGACCATTGAAGAGGGCATTCTCTCCGTTCACCTTACGGAAGGCTGGCTGCCCTCTGCATTTACCTCCAGGCCAGCCTGCGCTTCATCTCCCCCCTACACCCCCCAGGTAACTTCCTTCTGCTATATCTTAGTCCCTGGGGCTGTTTGCACCTTCATCCTTTCTTTTCTGCATTGATTTATTTCTTCCATGAGAAAGAGAGGCAGCTCTCCCCCCCCACAACCCCAGCAGGCTCCTGACACCTCCATCCGCAGCCTCAATGAGCCCCAGATCACAGGCACCACGGGCACCCCATGGACTCAGGTCACCGAAAGCAAACCAGAACCCCCCACACACACACACACATGGGGGTCAGCCTCGCAGAGGAGAGTGACAGCCCCGCTCTCCAGCCCCACTCAGGCCCGTCCAAACAGGAGAATCAATGTCCCGGCTTCCTCCTGGCAGCTTTCCCGTTGTGCATGTGGGATAGGGGTCCCTGGGACGGGAGGTCCCTGCTGTGAGTATTCTGCCTACAGGAATAGACCTGGGGATTTCAGGGTCAGGCCTAGGGGAAGGCAGGGTGTTGATACCGGAGAAGGGTCAGGAGTACCAGGTCTTTTTTGCTATCCTCAAACAGAAGGGAACACATTCTCCCCACGGTGTGGATTTCCCTTCCAGGGGCTTGTTCCAGCCAAGTCTCCTTCTTTAAGAGAAACTGGGGTGCTCTGAACATAGTGACCATTGCTGGAAGCAGGGCGCCCCGTCTCACAGAGGGAGGCAGTTTGATAACTGAATGGACTTTGGAAGTTCCCGTGTTTGACTATGACGCCGCGCTGTGATCACACTGGGTGGACCGTTGTCACGTGAGCTCCTGTTTGTTGCTGAAAATAAACAGAGTGGCTTTCAAAAAAAAAAAAAAAATTGCAGCACCGTGGTTCGTCGTAAAACAATAAATAGAAAATCCTTGGTGAGCCTGCCAGTATTTCACCCCCTAGCTAAGACGCGGTGAAGCCCTGGCTGCTCTTTAACGACAAATAAGGAATACAACTTTTTATTTGTGTGAAATTGAACTTTGAGTTCCAAAGCTTCGCATTGTTTACATGGGCATGTATGAAGTCACTGTTTTTATAATGACAGGAGCCAACTGGTGCCAGAATGGTGAGGGGGGAAAATGGTCATTCTAAATAGTATGTGAAATCGGAAACAACTGAGAATGCGAGCAGGGTGGAAATGCAAACTTCTGCAAAAACTTTACCGATTTTTGTTTGTTTGTTTTAGGGAGATTTTTGCTATAGGGCACATGCACTTACCAGAAAGACAGAGAGACAGAAAGCAAGAAATCGCTCCTTCTCCTCCAGTCCCCTCAGGATTTTGAGTATGCATGCACACGTACCCGGTGTGAGTTTCAAGCCGCCAAGTCTGAGCTTCGAACTGCAGTCTGACATGTTGGAGTCCAGCGACATAACCATTATGCCATCTGCTGGTCCTCCTGTACCTATTTTAAATTTACACACTCTAAAATTGACAGCAGCTCTCAAATCTAGTGACTCACACTTCCTAAAAAGATAGCTATCCTTTTCTTTTTAAGGATCCTTTTATTTAGCTTTATTTTTATTATTATTATTACTATTATTATTTAATTTGACCAGAGAAAGACAGAGAGGGAGGGAAAGGAGAAAGCAAGCTGCCAGGTCCAGGACTCAAACTGTGGTCAGCCATGTGGGAGTCCAGTGCCTTAACCACCACA